AGGTACAATCACAAAACTGACAAATTAACTTGGGATCTAAAACTAATATTCAAGATTGTCAATTGTCAATATCCATAAAGAAATAAAGCAAAGCAAGCAATCAACTAAGTTTTAGAAGTTACACAAGTAGTTCATAATTGTTTATCATCATATCAATCCAAAACAACATAACCAAAATGAAGTAGAAGCAAATATGACTATAATCAATTTTCTTTGGATCGATAGCCGAAATATCATCCGTAAACGTGCAAGCCTCCGACCCCAGTGAGGACTCTGAAGGTGTTTCCCACTCTTCCTCTTCATCAATGACCGGTTCCTTTAATCTTGAAGATGATACCCCCGACTTTCTCCTTCTTTAGTATGCATTCGTTCTTGCACTCTTTCTCCTCTTTGGATTAGCCCCTGATAATTTTGCGGCTTGCGTCCAAGTTAATTGTTCTCTGGAGAACACTTCATCATCACTTTCATCAATAAGTTGACTTGGAGGGACACCCAATGTGTGACCATTTCTTCATCATCAAAAGCAAGTAGAGGATCTATATCCTTATTAGAATGCTTGTTCCGAAGCTTTGCATTGAATTTGACAAGAACCAAGTCATGCAATTTCTTGTGACTTAATCTGTTCCTCTTCTTTGTGTAAATCTACAAATTAAAACATTAATTAGCACAAAGAACAAATTTGACTCAAATATGCTCCAAGCTTCCAACACAATTAAAACTTAAAGAAGTTATTATTACCATATCAAATGTACTCTAATTCCTCTTACAAGCCGATGAGCTAGCGGTCGCCGGTCAAGCTCAAAATCTCATCGCCATCCTCCTAAGGTCGAGCGTATCATTCCCGAAAGGATACCACCATGTAACTAGTCAATTAAACAATTTAAAAAAATTACAATTTTATAATAGATTTTTATAATAGATAATTTGAATGAAAATACAAGTATAACGGGATTACTATTGGGTTTTTTAGCTTGCTTCATGGCAATAGAGCTCGTAAATGACCCTTTTTTATACTAAAAATCAAAGAGTTGAGCTCCAATCCTACCAAAAGTGGCATCATCCTCCCCATAGAATCTATGCATACATTCAACTATACTTTGTATGAAGGTTCTATTTTTATCAATCGTCACAAAAGATGGATAAAAGAAGTAGGGATTGAGATAATATCCCGCTATATATAGTGGCTCCATAAATTTGTCCTCCCATCTTTTATCAATCATCTTCTATATAGAAAGATACTTCTTCTCTTCATTATTTAGGGTTGTTTACATCTCTTCCTTAGCCACCAACATATCTTCATAAACAAACCCCATAGACGGGGTTTCATCACTATCCGTTCCCCTCAAAGTCTTCACCAATAGAATAAACACTTGAAGGGTAAAATCAACCTTGTCCCAAAACTTGTTGCTTGCAATAATTTCAGCAACCTACAAAGAAGAAACGCAAAAAATGCAATGATTAAAAAAAACATACTAGGCTACTACAAGGAGCTTACTATTTTATAACTACCAAATTGAAATATTTATACGTTTTTGTCTGGTGTTGTGCATGGTGTTGTTGACGATAGACTACAGTCCATCCACTTATCCGAGATGAACATCTACCGCCTCTCTTTTTTCTTCTCCCTCATCGACTGTAGAGATAAGAATGTCGTAGCAAATCTCGTCGCCTCAGCTCTTAATATCCTAATCTATGAACTCTCTTAGCAATTGAAGGGACTTGGTATGACTGTAGATGTACACTGATAAAATTATTCTCATCAAAATTGCACTCTGAATAGGCTTGATTCTGGCTATGTCACTCAACATCAAATTTACACAGTGTGTTGCACAAATTGTCCAAAAGATATTCAGCATCGTATTTTTCAAACTAGTAGCGGCCGCCATATATGAAGCTCCATCTGTCATAATTTGCACCACGTTTTTCGACCCTAACTCAACAATTGCCTTCTCCACAAATTAAAGTATGTAGTTACCGTCATAATGTTTATCGGCTGATGTGTCTTGTGAAGTTATAAATGTTGTCCCTCCATTGGAATGCATAACTATGTTCATTATGCTCCTCCGCTTCCGATCACTCCAAGTATCGGTCATTATAGAGCAACCGGTGATCACACAATTCTTTTTGAAATTTTCAACCATCACTTTTGTTTCATTCACCTCTCTGCAAAATAGGCTCTCTTAACTCATGTCGATGGAGCTTGCATACATGCTCCAAACTGTCCAATATCATACACCATTTGTTGGAAGGAGGGAATTGTTGCGGTGTTGAATGCGATGCCGGCTTGATAGAACCATTTCCCTATACTTATTTGCATCATCCATTGCCTTTTTTCTATGCTTTGAGTCTATCATTGGTTGTTTCCCCTTTGCTAGTAAAGCGGCGGTCTCCTCGGGAGGGCGACATGCAAAAGAGTAAATTGGTCTTTTTGTCTCGAATGAAGAGGATGGGGTTCTTTGTGATGGATTCTCCTCATCTTCCTTCTCCCCTACATGCACATCACTCAATAACAAATTTAATCTAGCATTCTTTTCATCCTTTTTTTATTAGCCTCATCTAACATTGCACAAATTTTATTCTTCACATCTTGGGGATCCTTGTCACACGGCTTACAATTTCCTCTTTTTCCCACAAAATGAGCTTTGAATTGGCTTATGCCACCACTAAAAGCTTGCAAGCAAAACTTATACCGCACCTTTCCAGTGTCGGAACCAACTCCCTCTCCATATTGTCAACAAGGATCTTTACCATCCTTTTTTGGAGGAGCACTAGATTCTGGACCTTCGGATGACATCTTTTTACTATCACCTTCACATTCAACAAACATGGATTTTAGTCTTTTAGATAAACAAACTATACCAATGAGCTAACAAAAAAATCCAATTTGAGGAAGAAAACAACTACAATGTCATAAGTTTCATAATTAATTAATACATATTTTAATTTTAATCTTAATCTTAGTTTAAGATCTTCAAAATTGAGTCCATAATTGAATTTCAGTCCACAAAATCAACAAAATTTTCAGATTTTTCACAAATTTCAGCCAGTTAATACATACCACATCCAACGAAACTACATTCAAAAATCACATTCAACAAACATATGCCTTAATTTAAATTCAGTCAATCCAGACACTCTTTAAAATGAACTCAGTCCTTGCATTCAATTTCAGTCCAAATATTCAATTAAAATATTAAAAATAATTTCTCAAAATTAAATAAAATCAGTCCTTGTATTCATGTTACCTTCACCCTTAAAGATTTTCCCTCTTTCTTCACCTTCTTCTTCCTTGACTTTTTGATGAAAAAACCTAAAATAAAGAGTTCAGAAAAATTAGGGTTTGAGAAAATTAGAGTTTAGAAGAAAGAGAGAGGAGAAAGAGACTGAAAAGAGAGGAGAGATAGAGAAAGACTGAAAAGAAATAGAGTAAGAGATAGAGAGATCCATGCCTTTGATTAGGGTCTTGAGGGACCGCATGAGAGCTTCGAGAGCTTTGATAGGCGGGGGGAGAGAGAGCTTTGGGAGGCGGGGAGAGAGAGGGAGAGAGCGCCTTCGACAGGACTATATTACGTATATATCATATATATATACATATATATATATATACATATATATAATATACATATATATATAATATATATATATATTATATATATATATATATATTATATATATATATTATATATATATATAATATATATATAGAGAGAGAGAGAGAGAGAGAGAGAGAGAGAGAGAGAGGGGCGAGAGAAATCGGAGAGAACGAAGGGAATTTTCGCATTTGGTTTCGAGATAGGGTTTTAATTTTTAGGCTTAGTGGGTTCAGGTCGGGTTTGGGAATCCAAACAACCCAAAAGTCAACCCAAATTCAAAAACAATAGAATCGGCCGATATTTACAATCTGATATAGTGGCCGATATATCTGATATATCAGAAAAAATCCCAAAGATCAGAAATGACGAAATTTCATCAATATCGTTACAGAATCGTGTCAAACCCAAGATATCAGCCGTAATATCGATATCGCGGCCAATATTTAATACACTGAACCCCGATCCTATGTACTACCAAACAATGGGTCTTAGGGATTTAAAATCCCAGTCCCAATCGTAGCCCTAACCATGTATGTGTGCGTGCGTGCGTATATATATAGGGGTTTTGTCTTTAGATCCCAAGTTTTACCTTGATTTATGCTTAAACCTAAGTATATTTATTTGTATCTTTGAACCCAATCAACTTTCTCTCTATCTTTCAACCCAAATAGTATAATTCATAGTTAAAATATATTATATTTATACTTTTAAGAGTCCCCACATCTCCTCAAAACTCTTTCTCACTCTAACATATTAAAATTAAAAAATATGAAAACTAAAATCAAAATTTTTGTTTTTTGACTCTTATCAATTATTATTAATTGCGATGAACAATTATTAAGAGTTGTGAATAATCATGTGAAAAAATATGGTGAAGCAAATGACAAATTAATGCTATTATTATCCCAAATGCTTATGTGAATTTATGCTACAAAATTAGGAGTTGAAGAATTGGGAGAATTTATACCTTAAAATACCAAAAAAGAGAAGAATCATCATCAAAATTTGGTATTTAAAGGGTTTATGAGAGTCGAAGAAGGAAATAAGAGCACAAAGTAGATGAGAGAGAATTAAATGAGAAAAGGAGAGAGATAAAATTGGATTCTTTTTTTTAAATTAGGGGGGACCACATAAGTAGGAAGTGTATTTGAGAATTTGGGTTTAAAGATAAATACGCAAGCTGATTGGTTCTAAAGATACAAAGAAAAGCAATTAGGTTTAAACATAAATCATGGTAAACCTTCGCGTCTAAAGAGAAAAACCCCACATATATACACACACACACACATCATATACATATGTACATAAGATGCGTGGGTGTGTGTGTGGACACACATGCACGCACATGTATGATCTTTCCATTTTTCTTTGAAGCAACTAGTTTGATGATTTCATGTCCTTCTGCAGGCGTTTATGGTTCCTTTCTTCTTGCTTGCTATGATGAACACAATGAGGAGTATCAAAGCATATGTAATATAGGTAGCATTCTTTATGATCCTAAAAGTTTTAACCTTTTCTGGTAAGTCTTCAAATTTATGGCTAAAGACTGCATTTGACTTTTTGTAGGTACTGGATTTTCTGAACAACAGCTGGAAGAGTGTTCCAAAAACCTTCGTGGTAAAATAATTCTTAAGCCAAAGGTAAGGCATTCCTTCCCCTTTTAAAATTGTTACGATAATTTCTTTCCTTGCATAAGCCAAAGGTAAGGCATTGCTTCCCCTTTAGTTAAACTTGCTATAATAATTTCTTTCCTATACTGCACATGTACTCACAAGGTATATGACTCCTGATTCCATTTTTCCACTAAATCATTTCCAGCCATACTATCGATATGCTGATTCGGCGAATCCAGATGTGTGGTTTGAACCAGCAGAGGTAACAGTGTCGCTTTCTTATGATAAAATTGTTATTTCTTTTTTTAGTTTCTGTCCAAGCATGCTCATTGCTCCATTTTTCACTTAGACGCTTGGCTCTTCATTCTGTCTAACACCAAGGAAGCCTCCACTGTTTATTTGGAAGAGGCCGCAGAAATATTGATTTAACTATATTTTAAATTACGTCGTCTTATAGAATGTGACTTTTTGGGAATATTATTCCATTTGTCCCCCTATATTGATTTATGTCTCAGACATGAATGTTGTTCCCTACAGCTAAGAGAGCAACTTTCTTGTCTTTATTTTTAGTTGCCAGTGTAGGGGGCTCCATCGCACTTGTTAGGTGCGTACTCCTAAAATGCATGATGGCAAAAATTATATTTGCCAAGTTACAAATGGCAAGAAGGTTTTTCAAAGGGCCTTGGCATGGTCTGATGGAGGAGCGGCAGCATCACATGACAATTCATTAAGTATTTTCCTCAGGTTGACAACTGGTCGTATAAACTTATTATTTCTTGAGATTTGTCACTTTACGTCAGGTTGAATACTATTCCCCAAAAATGTGGAGCATTCTTGAGTTTTCTCAACTACATATCATGTTATATTGCTTTCAAGCATGCTATGGGAGGTGGCTTACATATTGATGACAATGAGATCCATCGTGAAATAATAGGCTTTAGCTTATAAGTCGGTCCCCTTTTTTCTAGAAGTTGTGCAGGTTAAAAGTTTCTAAAATAAAAACATTTTACTTGCCACTTAGAAATTTGACTTTACTTGAAATATCATAACGTTGTTATCACATCATTATGGGATATAAAGTTTTATAATTTCATTTGTTTTCAGAATATTAACTAGTTAGATGGTGCATTGGTCTTCCCTTAATGATACAATTTGTAATATTCTTGGTTTTCTGCTTGGAATCTTGTCCTTAAGAGTTCACTTAGGGAAGGAAGGGGAAGGAAGGGGGTGAAAATTCCCCTTCCTTCCCTTCCCCTTCATTACCCTCCAATTTGGGGGGTGACATTTTGGCACAAATTTCCCCCCCATTCCCCTCCTTTGTCCTCCTAAATGCAACTCCCAAACAATGTTAAAATTACATTTCTCTTCCCCTCCCGCTCTCTACCCTCCATCCAAACATGCCATAAATAATTTAAGTCAGAAAACCTGTTTTTGTAGATTCTTCATGTAGGAGTTATATGAGAGTTTGTGGCTATGTTCACCAAGTTTCTTCCGGTTGGCATTGATTTTGCTTGCTTTCTTCTGCACCATAAACCAATTTACTGTCCATTATCCTTCAATTCTTCTATCTTAAATCTGTCGGGTACTACTGAGACTGTTCCTTTATGAAACTAGGTGACTGTTCATTATGTATGTGTAGATCCCACTTCATTGTGCAATCCTCATCCTCTCACGACACGTTCTTTACTAGCTTCTATATTCATTCCATTTTTCACTTGCCATCCCTTTATAAAATCATGTCGCGTTACTCTTTCCTTCATTTAGTGTGTGCCTTGGGTACCTCTTATCTGAAAATAGACTGAGTTGCAGAAGAAGCTTAGGAGATGCGAATGACGAATTGTATAAGGTTTTCACTGGACAAGACATCAAACTCAATAATTTAAAAGTTTAAAAGGGCATGAGATATCAATGTACATGAACCAACCTTAATAATTTTAACTCCCTACCTTGCCTCTGGACCATGAGGAGTACTTTTAAACATAAACTTTAGTCCCATCAAAAGATGAAATCAATGGGGGACCAATAAATAGATTAGAATTGCTAATTATGAAGTTTCATCTCAAGACGTTTTGAAACTTGGTGCTTCGAGGTCTACTTCAGAGATACTTTCTGAAACATTTTTCAAATCCAAAAGTTCAGCATCTTCACACGAATTAGTGAATTAGGCAAGGTTCTTTTGTGCAGAATAAGAAAGAGCGGGTCAATCTTTCAAAATTTCATTGGAAATAGAGAATACTTATACAAATAAAAATGTGGGAGAAATCAGGAAGTTGCAGGTTCGTTTATCTGATTGGCTAGTCAAGCATGAACTGATTCATTGATCTTTGGGCTTCGATTGCCGAGGAGTAGAGACTTTACAAATAAAAACCAAGGATTGGGACTCCTTTGCTGTCATTTCATATGTATATGGTTACAATTATTTACGCTCACAGTGTGCCTATGATGCAGCACCAGGCGGATTTTTAGCTAGTGTGTATCATCTTACGAAAATACGGTATGGTATAGATAAACCGGAAGAGGTATGCATAAAAGTATTTGCCCCAAGGAATAATCCTAGAATCCCTTCAGTTTTCTGGATTTGGAGAAGTGCCGATTTTCAAGAACGGGAATCTTATGATATGTTGGGAATCTCTTATGATAATCATCCACGTCTTAAACGTATCTTGATGCCTGAAAGTTGGATAGGCTGGCCCTTACGTGCCATATAACCAGTTTGAATTGATGCTTGAGCTAATAGATTGTGGTTTAACAACGTACATCAGGCAACTAGACATTTGAATGTTAGAGGACAAAAATAAATCCCTCAACCCTTGTCACAGCTTCATGCATTTAGTGTAACTTAGAGCCTTTAAGATGGTAAAGAGGTAGTGGGTTTAGGCTTATCCTGGTGCACATGGATTAATAAAAATAACTGCATAAGACCAAGACTTTGGCCAATAAAGATCACCACTTCACACTTTTGTTCTCATGGCAAACTTAAGTTGTTGAAAACACAGGCTGCGAATTTTGTTAAAAAAGGAAGAAAATTTGTAAAGAAACCACTTAGGATTGTTGTAATCCTCCCTTTTTGGCAACTCTTACTAGTTCCCTCTTGCTTTCTGCCTCTAAATCTTCTCCATAACATTTGCCAACCTTCCACACCTCACTACTTTTTTGGCAACCTGGAAACAGTTTTCTTTTCTCTTGAAGAGGATAGATGCTGCTGGGTTTCTTAGATTGCTCTTGGAACTTTGGGGAATCCGTCTTTCTTGAGTTTTCTATCAAATTGAGGAACTCAGCATGGGCACATCATGGAAACCCTTGAGCTCTTATTTTGACATCACACTAGTATTGCTCTTTACATACTACTTGTTGGTTCCATTCGGCTCAACTTCCTATCTCAAATAGGTATCTTGCAATAGTTTTCTTTTGAATATTTTTAGCGTTAATTAGGCAAATTTCTGATTTGGAAACTATTAGGTTATTCATGGATCCATTACTGTTATATTTGACAAGTTTTCTTTTAGTTATCTATGCTGATTTTAATTTGAAATATGTGAGGAGATCCGCTAACTGCTGCGAACTTGAAAATTTTTTATCGTTTATGGACCAGTTTCTTACCTTTTACTGATTATGCTTATAACAGTACATATTAGCATTTGAATCCTTTGCATCGGGAAAATCATCGTTTTTGCTTGAGCTTTCTCCCCAGAAATTTTGGTCAACTTTACGACATTCTTCATGTTCAGCTCTCTAATATGGGAAAAGGCTTCACGGCAAGTTCAACAAAGTTTACGGCTCGCTCACAATTTGAACATTTAAACTTATACCAACTAATTTTCATTTCAGGTCTATTAAGGCAGCCTCCTTGATCAAATTAACTAGAGTATTGTACTAATAATAATATAACTGTCGTTTTCTAATTATACTTTGTTCTTCTAATTTCACCTGATCATTGTGCAGTCTGCTTCTCTCTTTACTTGAGCAGGATTATTTTAGATTTATATATTTGTCACTTGTCCTTCGCTTTTGTTCCTACATGTCTAAACAGCAGTGTAGCTCCTAGTAATGAAAATTAGTTTTCATTTATTTATTACTTGTGCCTATCTATGTATTGTGATAGAACATTTGGTTATTTACGTGTCATTTACAGTGTTATGTCATATGGACAGGTCTGGGAGGTAAAGGCGGCTGACTTGAGCATAAGTCCTGTTCATCGTGCTGCTAATGGCATAGTGGATCCAAATAAGGTTAACAAATATTATAATGTTGCTGATGAGCATCCTTTAGTTTGGGATTCTTCCATTATTGCATTATGCTCTTGAAATACATATCTAATGTACAGTTTTTCTAATCGGTTCATCTTGAAGGGTATTTCTCTTCGGTTTCCTCGTTTATTAAGAGTCCGTGACGACAAGAACCCAGATCAAGCCACAACATCTGATCAGGTAAATTGACTGAGTCCTGATGCATGGTGTTTTTCTCATTGTGTTCCTAAGTCAACCTATATCTGAAGTCATTTTTTAGGCTATTCATGTGATCCCGATTACTGCCCAATTGGAGTTTCAGGTTGCTGATATGTACCGTGCTCAGAAGATCAACCATACAAACCATCAAGAGGAAGAGGATGATGATTAATTATACTGATTGACATTTCACTGATGAATCATGCGAGGTTAGCAAGGCTAATTGCAACATTCTACATGGCGTTGGCTGCTGGTGATAACTGCAATATTTTTCAGGTGTCATTCTGGAATGACAATTTATGGCTAGTGCCTTGATATATGAAGAACAAAGTAATCAGTCTGATACTAAAGTACGCTGGCTCAGGTAAACAGTTCATGACATCTGATATGGGAAATTCTCTGATTATTATGTGATATATGGCTTGCTTGTCCGCAGTTGATGTATAGATATTCCTATACTCTCCTACTATTCTATTATCTTTTTATATACCTTTTTTTAATCTCGTTCATCAGCCTCCATTATGCTAGTATGAAATTCAGTTGTTTTCTTTTAATATCAAGGACTTCTTTGTGATAATCACAGATGCAAAAGATTTTTCATGTCTGGGTTTTAACATATTATAATTTGAAGTTAGCCTTAATTTGCAATCAAATGAGCACTTTATCGTTCTCCATTATGTCTTCCGGGTAGTTTAACCTTTTTTCTGTTGCAAGTTTCCTAGTTGATTTCTTGCAACCTCTTCTGGGATGCCTAATGCCTTTGCTTACGGAAAATCAGAACTCAAGATTATTTCTTTACACTATGATAATCCCTTAATTCTGACTCCTCTCTTAACCCTGAACATATACTCATATCGTTAGGCTTAGTATACCTTC